AAAGAGGAGGCGGGTATTAAGAATGGCTTTTCAGGTTTCTGACTTATACACTTGGCTGGATGGTGAAGCCCTGCCCTGAGACAGGCACCCTGGATGAGGACCAGTTTGCCAGGGGAAGATTATGAAGCAATTTTGAACATGTTGGGTTTGAGTGCCTTTGAGGCATCAGAGAGAGATGTCAGAAACCCAACTGGGTAAATGGGTTCCCAGATTGGAGGAGAGGTCTAGGATGGAGGGAGATGTTTGTGAGTCATCAGTGTCAAGGTGCATTAGACACTGTGGGTGTGGATGAGATCACTCAGCGAGTACAGAAAGGGGAGGAGAGGGGAGGGCGTCCAACCTCGCCTTGTGGGATTCCAACACCTAATGGCTGGGGAAAGGAGAAGCCTACAAAAGCAGGCAGAACAAACCTGCCAGAACCACAGGGAGAATAGCAGCTGAAAGCCAAGGAAAGCAAGCATTTGTTGGGAGAGGAGGTCATCAGGGGAAAATAATGCTGAAAGGATAGGGGAAATGAAGACTCAATAATGCAATAATAACTATCATACCAATAGCTTTAATATATAGTAATAATCATCATCAACAGTCTTTATGGAGCCCCAGTTATGAGCCAGGCACTTTAACATATAATTTAATCCTCATAAGAATTTTGTAAGGCAGGTCCTGTTATCATCCTCATTTTCACAGTAGAGAACATTGAGCACAGACAGCTGAAGTCATTTGCCTGAGGTCACACAGCCAGTGAGTGAAGAAATCAGGGTGGAAGCTCTTCTTCCTCACTCCATGGCCCCTGTCCTTAAATGCCTTGTGTCTGGTGTTGGGGAATAAAAAGCAGCCAGGGAGGCAGGGTGGGGAGGGGAGATTTAGAAATTTGGATTCTTTCTAGCAAAGGCAATAAAATGTTCCATGGTTGCTAAAGCCCAAGTCCAAGTTGGTGACCAGGAACTGGTATTGCAGCAACTGTTTCTGATGATGGTTCAGCTAGATTAGGGCAGTGTTGAATGCATGACAAGGCTATATTTGCCATGGGAAAGCCTTGCTCCAAGTGCTCTAGGGCATTAGTTCTCAAAGTGGGAGCTCCGGGCCAGCAGCCTAACATCACCTGGGAACTAAGAGATGCAGATTCTCAGGCTCCAACCGAGACCTTCTGAATCAGAAACTCTGTGGGGCAGAAGGAGCAGAGGAGGAATCCATGTTCTAACAAACCTCTGTGAGATTCTTATGCACAAGGTTGAGAACCTTGTTCTTGGGAGACCCTTGAAAAAGAGGAAAACCCTAATAACATATGATCCATATATCTCACTTTGGCAGCAACCAGATGGGAGAGTGTTTCTTAACCCTGGCTGCCCACTGTAATCACATGAGGAGCTTTGGGAACTAATACTGCCAGAGTCTACCCTCAGAAATTCTGGTTTCATTGGGTTGGCATTGACCTGATCATTTGAAATAAGGATTTGAATGGGGAATAGATGATCGAATGAATGGTTGGCTTCTGAACACTTCTGAGAATCCAGTTGGACCTGGGAGAGAAAACAAGGCAGGCTTTGAAGGGGAAGGTCAATACAAATGGAAGCTAGATCTTAGGTACTTTGTGAATACCAGTAAAGCTTGAATAACTCTGGAGGTTGTGGTGGGGAGAGAAGGTAGTCTGAATTTATAACAATTCTAAAGGATGACTTAGTTTAAAAGAGATGCCAATTATAAAGTAGATATGTGGTCAAGACTGCTCCATGAATAAAATATTGTTGTGATTTTTCAGTTCAGTTCAGTTCACTTGCTTAGTCATGTCTGGCTCTTTGCGACCCCATGGACTGCAGCACGCCAGGCCTCCCTGTCCATCACCCACTCCCAGAGTTTACTCAAACTCATTGAGTTGGTGATGCCATCCAACCATGTCATCCTCTGTCTTCCCCTTATCCTCCCACCTTCAATCTTTCCCAGCATCAGGGTCTTTTCAAATGAGTCAGTTCTTCTCATCAGCTGGCCAAAGTATTGGAGTTTCAACTCAGCATCTGTCCTTCCAGTGAATATTTAGGACTGATTTCTTTTAGGATGGACTCGTTGGATCACCTTGCAATCCAAGGGACTCTCAAGAGTCTTTTCCAATACCACAGTTCAAAAGCATCAATTTTTCAATGCTCAGCTTTTTTTATAGTCCAACTCTCACATCCATACATGACTACTCGAAAAACCATAGCTTTGACTAGATGGACCTTTGTTGCAAAGTAATGTCTGCTTTTTAATAAGCTGTCTAGGTTGGTCACAACTTTTCTTCCAAGGAGCAAGTGTCTTTTAATAATGTCATGGCTGTAGTCACCATCAGCAGTGATTTTGGAGCCCCCGAAAAGAAAGTCTGTCGCTGTTTCCACTGCTTCCCCATCTATTTGCCATGAAGTGATGGGACCAGATGCCATGATCTTAGTTTTCTGAATGTTGAACTTTAAGCCAACTGTTTCACTCTTCTCTTTCACTTTCCTCAAGAGGCTCTTTAGTTCCTCTTGGCTTTCTCCCATAAGAGTGGTGTCATCTGCATATCTGAGGTTACTGATATTTCTCCCGGCAATCTTGATTCCGTCTTGTGCTTCATCCAGCCCAGCATTTCTCATGATGTACTCTACATTTAAGTTAAATAAGCAGGGTGACAACATACAGCCTTGATGTACTCCTTTTCCTATTTGGAACCAGTCTGTTGTTCCTTGTCCATTTCTAACTGTTGCTTCTTAACCTACATACAGATTTCTCAGGAGGCAGGTCAGGTGGTCTGCTATTTCTATCTCTTGAAGAAGTTTCCACAGTTTATTGTGATCCACACAGNTTTTTTTTTTTTTAAATCTCTCCTTGCTAATCTTTGGAACTCTGCATTCAAATGGGTGTATCTTCCCTTTCCTCCTTTGCCTTCGCTTCTCTTCTTTTTATAGCTGTTTGTAATGCCTCCTCAGACAACCATTTTCCCTTTTTTCATTTATTTTTCTTGGGGATGGTCTTGATCACTGCCTCCTATACAATGTCATGAACCTCTGTCCGTAGTTCTTAAGGCACTCTGTCTATCAGATCTAATCCCTTGAATCTATTTTTCACTTCCACTGTATAATCATAAGGGATTTGATTTAGGTCAAACCTGAATGGTCTGGTGGTTTTCCCTACTTTCTTCAATTTAAGTTTGAATTTGGCAATAAGGAGTTCATGATCTGAGCCACAGTCAGTTCCCAGTCTTGTTTTTGCTGATTGTATAGAGCTTCTCCATCTTTGGCTGCAAAGAATATAATAATTATTATAATCTGATTTCGGTGTTGACCATCTGGTGATGTCCATGTGTATAGTCTTCTCTTGTGTTTTTGGAAGAGGGTGTTTGCTATGACCAGTGAGTTTTCTTGGCAAAACTCTATTAGCCTTTGCTAATTGTGATTTTTACTCAGTCTTAATTGAAATGATTCTACTAATTTTAATCAAAGATAATATGCTGACACCCTCCTAGCAGCTTTGCTGAGACTGTCTATATGTTAAGAAGGTACTCTGACCCCCCGGCCTCTCAAACCTCACTGCTTCCTCTTTGCTCCATGGACCTTCCTCCATGGCTGACCTGGTCAGTTTACCAGTCCCCAAGCACTGTCACACTGTTCCTATGTCCTGGTATTTGTTGGTGCCTCTCCCTATCTTCTCCTCCTCTCAGGGAGGGCCTATCTCCTTCTAGAATCCTCCATGGACCCCCAGTTCAGAGAATTCCCCTTTCTCCTAATCCTTTTAGCACCAAATATCTTTAAGGCCCTCTGGTCCTATTTAGTTTTCATCATTCTACGCATTTCCCATCTCTGGCCCTGGATCATAAGCCCTATGTTTAAGGCTTATAACCCCACCCCCAACATTCAGGACAGTGATGGCTTACAACTTTTTGCCTCCTGCCCAGCACAGCACCCCATACTCTACAGGCTCAGGAAATAGTAGTCAAGAAACTGTACAAAAAGTGAATTTCAGTCCCTCTTCTTCCCACATCATCATGATGTGCAGATAAGAAGGCACCACCCCCAATGAGATGTGATTATGGTTTGGCCATTCTTGAGGGCAAAATCCATTTGTAAGCACACCAAGGTGGAGATCCCAGAGGGAGCATCCTCCAAAGTGAGACGTGGCCCCCTCCACAGGAGGGGCTCTCACCATCTCATTAGTCCATGTTGTTTTGTATTATGTTCCAGGACTGCCTTAGCAGCACCACAAACTTGGTGGTTTAAAATAACAGAAGTCTCTCCTCTCACATTTCTGGAGGTCAGACGTCTGAGACCAGTGTCACTGAGCCAAAGTCCAAGTGCTGATGGAGCCATGCTCCCTCCAGAGGCTCTAGGACAGACCTTTCCCTGCCTCTTCCAGCTTCTGGCAGCACCACCTTCCTTGGCTTGTGGCCACTTCATTCCAGTCTCTGCTTCCTTGGTCACACCGCTTTCTCCTCCCTTCTCAAATCTCCCTCTACCTCCCTCTTATAAGGACATTTGTGACTACATTTAAGGCCCATGCTGGTGCTCCAAAATAATCTTCCCAACTCAAGATCCTTAACTTCATCACAACTGTTAAGTTCTTTTTTACCATCTCAGGTAACATTTACACATTAAGGGATTAGGACTGGGATATCTTTGGAGCAGCCGTGTTGTAACCTACCACACAGACAAAGGTAACTGGAGCCTCCAAAGGGACAGAGACTTGTCCAAGGTCACACTTCAAGGTTGTAACAGAAATTAGACAGAGATCCAGGTCTTCTTTCTGTGAATCTTGGACTCCTCCCACTAGACCATGCTGGTTCCTGTGAAAGTAAGACAAAGGTCTTAGAATAACACTTCATACTCTGATTCCTTGTCTTCTCTCTGGAACACGTGCTACTAGAATTCCCCCACATGTGCACCCTGCCCCCGCTGAAGTCCTAGTTCCATTACTTCGAACTCACTGTATGTTTGCTGGCCTGTGTGGGCAGCTGCAGTGGACTCACTAAATGGCATTTTCTCCTCCCTCTTCAGGACCGCCTCTTTTTTGTCATGGAGTATGTGAATGGTGGGGACCTCATGTTCCAGATTCAGCGCTCCCGAAAATTCGATGAGCCTCGTTCCCGGTTCTATGCTGCAGAGGTTACATCAGCTCTCATGTTCCTCCACCACCATGGAGTCATCTACAGGTACCTCTCCTCACCTCCTCTCTTCCCTAGAAGTGAAAAAATAGAGAGTTCTCGGGATGCTTGAACTGACTTTGGCTTCCAGCCAACTGGTCTCTTAGCAACTCGCTTTAAATTAGTTGTTTGTTTCAATTTGCTTACAGAGGGCTTTTTTGGGGGCTGTTTATCACTGTAAATGTTAATATTTGAATAGCCCCGGGAGATCTGATCCACTGTTTGTGCCAGTTTTGATTGAAAACTTAAGCAGGACATTTAAAGGCCCAGTGCCAAGTAACCTTGGAGTGACCTTCATTTCTCTCCCCCCTGCCACCCCAACCCTCTTCCTTGAACATCAGGGCATTCTCTGTACTTTTTCCTTCTGTGCCATGAACTTCCTCCCCTTCCCAACCTCTTGCCACTTCCTGAGTTTGTTTGGCTTAGTTGTCTCCAGCAGATAGAATCAGAGAAGGAGGAGTTCCTTGGGGGGTCTCAGGGTTTATGATCTAGGAGGGAAGAGGGGAGGGGAACTAGACAGTATCTAACAGGAAGTGACTCTCTGCAGATCATCCAGTCCCTTGTTACTGCCTTGTCCCCCTTCCAAGAAAACATGGAACACACACACACACACACACACACACACACAAATTTTCCAGTAAGAGAGCAGTACTACTTACGCAGGCTCTTCTGTGAGGTCAGGAATTCTGGGAGGAGTAAATGTTTATAATTAGCAACAAGGACACTAAAGTTCCTTCAGGTTTTTTTCAATGATTGTCAATTTCTTTACTTAGATTTTGTGTCCTCCTTTTTCCTTCAGTTGGGTTGAAGAATAGCTGGCTTGATTCAACCCAAAACTAATCCCTCACCAGAACTTCGCTGGCCCCACTCAGGAAGCAATGCCCTAACTAAAAAAAATGTTCTCCAAGGGTTTATGAAACCAACCCTCAGCTTCCTTAAGTCCCTCTGCTCAAAAATAGTCAGTGGCTCCCTATGGCCTGTATAACAAAGCCCATAGCCTCCTATTATGGTCCTCCCCGTCACAAGTCCACATATTTGTTTCCTGTTACTGCGTAACAAATTACCACAAATGCAGTGGCTTAAAGCATTGATTATTTCACAGTTCCCACAGGGCAGAAGTCTAGGCACAGCGTACCTGGGTCTCTCTGCTGTGATCAAGGTGTCAGCCAGGCTGCTTTCTTATTGAAGTTTGAGCTCCTCTTCCAGGCTCACATGTTATGGGCAGAATTCATTTCCTTGCAAATGGAGAATACATGTGGCTTCCTCATGGTCAGCAGGAGTGAAAGCCTTTCCTGCTTTGAGTCTCTAACTTCAGGGAGGCCTGGACCCTCTTTGAAAAGGATCATTTGATTAGATTGGGCCCACCCAGGCTAATCTCCCTTTTAACTCAAAGTTGAATCATTTAGGGACCTTAATTATGCCTGCAGATCCCTTGGCCCTTGCCCTATGATGTCTTATAATTGCGAGTGGTGTCACATCCCTTTCCACATTGTTTTGGTTGGAGGTAAGTCACAGTTTCTCCATCATACACAAGGGGAAGGGGTTATGGGATTATACCAGAGTGTGAAACATTGGGGGTCACCTTAGATTAGGTCTACTACAGCCCAGTACACCTCACTTCCCATGATCTCTTGAATCTGCCAAGGTTCTTGCATGTATATGTGCTAAGTCACTTCAGTCGTGGCCAACTCTGTGCAACGCTATGGGCTGCAGCCTGTCAGGCTCCTCTCTCCATGGGATTCTCCAGGCAAGAATACTGGAATGGGTTGCCATGCCCTACTCCAGGGGATCTTCCTGATCCAGGAATTGAACCTGAATCTCTTATACATCCTGCATTGGCAGGCAGGTTCTTTACCATTAGTGCCACCTGGGAACCCAAGGTTGTTAGCTTGCGTCAAGCTCATCTGACAATTCCCTACTTTCTTGTTCTTCTGTCCTCCTCTTTCCAGCCCAGAAGCCTCATGCAATACTGCCTGCCTGCTGGAAAGCTGGTCCCACCAGACAGAGCGAGTCTCTCCATCCACCACTTTATTTGCAATTTGGGAATGTCACACCTTCTCCCTTAGGACCGTGGCTGCTGCTTTATTAACCCATCGACCTTCTTATTTTACATCCTCTTATTATCTTGCACATACTAAATGATCAAGAAATGACCTTTGGCTTCAGTTTAAATTCCTAATCTCTGCCTCCAAAGCAGCTTGCCGACTAGTTAGAGATACTAGCGTTAGATATGTGAAAATATCACCCATATTACAATGCAGTGCACTCTTAGGAGCCAGTGACTAGAAGAATTGTCATTCACTGAGATATCCTCCCTATCCACTCCCTGTCAGAGTGGGTATAATCTCCCACAGTTTACCAGCAGAGATTCAGAGATTCCCCTTAAATAGTGGGTGGGGCAAAAGGTTTGTTCCAGTTTTTCCATAACATCTTACAGAAAACCCGAACAATCTTTTTGGCCAACCCAATAATTTGCCCAAGGCCATGTTCAGTAAGTGACAGACTTAGGAAGTGTAACTGATCAGTAGGCTCCTGCTGTACATCATGACACTTGTTATGGGCCTGTCAAGTCCAAGCCCATACTCCTTACTAGTCATTCCTGGTACTCCGAAACTTGACTTTTCCTTACATTTCTAGTTTCTTTTCCTTTCTGCTCCCCTAGATGAATGCTTGCCTCTCACCTCACCTGTGAACACTTTTGTTCTAGTGACTTTTGTGAGCCATACTTGTCCCCTCTCTTTCTCTCCTTTCCACTTCCCTGGCCATTTCTCCTTAATCTCTATATAACATGGCCTGGTCCTTCTCCCCTCCAACCCCCATCCTCTAAATACTGGTTTTTCCCAAGGCCTTCATCCCTAAATACTCTCCCTGAGCAATTTCAGCAGTTGCCTGTCTCCAAATGACACCTGTGTGCCCAAGACTCCCATATCACTGTCTCCAGCCCCCAGTTCTCTCCAGATCCCTGCACAAGACTACTCTCTCAAGATGATCTCCAAGGCTTTCTACTTGCTTTCTCAGGTGGTTTGCAAGAGTTTACTGACCTGAGTCACTCACTGCCTCTTGCTTTTCTCCCTCCTATCTTGTCTACCTACCTCTCCATTGCAGTCCAGTGTTCTTTCAAAGTACAGGCATATGGTCACATGGTGCCCTTCTTAGCATCCTCTACCTTCACTAGATAAAGCACAGCCCCTTTTGCTGGCCATCAGAATCCATCAGCCCTGGCCCTGGGGCTGCTGTGCACGGCTGTGTGACTTGGGCATGGCACGGGAGGGAGGGGCCCGGGCGGTGAGTGGGAGCTGGCATCCAGGTCTGTTCTGCTAGTGCATCTGGCTTCAGCCCGAGGAAGAGATGCTTTCTCTACCTAGAGGAGACCCCTTTTTTTGTTTCTCACAAAGACACCATGCATGCTAAAAGGGCCCTGGTGGCCCCCAACGATCTTATAATCCTTATCACTATTCCCCCAACTGTGTAGCCCACCCTCTATACCCTCCAGATGAGACCATTCTCCCCCAAATGCCTTTCTCTTTCATTTCTCCAAGTCTTTGTCTCCACTGTCCCTACAATTCCCTTGTTCCCAATCTGTATCTTGCTCAGTGAGGAGCTCCTAGGTCACATCTATGTTCTGACTGTCTAAGAGTCCCTGGTTTAACAACAACAAAAAAAGGTAGATTCCAGAATACTAGATGAGGGGACTAGATCAGGATATAGATGGGGAAAGAATGGCCATGAGTTGATGATTGCTGAGACTGGATGTTGGGTACACGGGGGTTCACTATTATGTCTGCTTTTGTGAATGTTTTAAATTTGCCGTAATAATCATAATTTTTTTCTTAAAGAATAGCAATTCCAGGGTAACATTCCTAGAGTCTTTGATTCATTAGGTCTGGTGTGGGATTCAGGAATCTGTACTTTCTTAAAGAATTCCTCAGGTGACTTGGGGACCACAGGTGCAGAAAATTTCTGTTCTGCTTTCACGACTGTGTAAGATGCCCCTGTTCTGGGAGGCTACCCTGACCACTCAGCCTGTCATGGGGATCATGCCTCCCTTGGGCGACAGCATCTCTCTGGTTCAAGCTGGTTCCCTTTGTCAGCCTTGTATTTTTACTTGAGATACCTATTCTGTGATTGAAAACTCCATGCAGGCGTGCTTACCTAGCCGGCCTAGGTTGTTATGCTGCTCTGCTTGTAGTAAGCATTCAGTAAATACTTGTTTTCATCTCTAATGCTCCAGAACCCTGCAGTCCAGCTGGGTTGCTACCTCATCAGTTCAGTCCAGTTCAGTCCCTCAATCATGTCCAACTCTTTGCAACTCCATGGACTGCAGCACGCCAGGCCTCCCTGTCCATCACCAACTTCCAGAATTTACCCAAACTCATGTCCATTGAGTCAGTGATGCCATCCAACCATCTCATCCTCTGTCGTCCCTTTCTCCTCCCACCTTCAATCTTTCCCAGCATCAGGGTCTTTTAAAATGAGTCAGCTCTTCGCATGAGGTGGCCAAAGTATTGGAGTTTCAGCTTCAACGTTAGTCCTTCCAAGGAACACTCAGGACTGATCTCCTTTAGGATGGACTGTTTGGATCTCCTTGCAGTCCAAGGGACTCTCAAGAGTTTTCTCCAACACCACAGTTCAAAAGCATCAATTCTTCAGGACTCAGCTTTCTTTATAGTCCAACTCTCATATCCATACATGACTTCTGGAAAAACCGTAGCCTTGACTAGACAGACCTTTGTTGGCAAAGTAATGTCTCTGCTTTTTAATATGCTATCTAGGTTGGTCATAACTTTCCTTCCAAGGAGTAAACATCTTTTAATTTCATGGCTGCAGTCACTATCTGCTACCTCATACCTGTTCACTTTTGAAAGTCTGTGTTGGAAGCATCTGTTGGAACACAGTTTTTCTTCCTTGACCCTGAATTGCCCCATTCCTGCATGTTTCTCATTTCATAGATGAATTAGGACCATGTGATCTCTCTTTCCCATGCGCCTTTGTTTGAAGCTGCCGGCACA